CAACCATTAGCTGAATGTACTATCAATAAAATCCTGGGTCGCAAGTACTCACCTTAATATTTAAAAAAAAAATATATTTCATCATCATATATAACTGGGCCAGCATGTATCCTATTTAGAGGTAACGAACGTTTGCTTTGATCGTGCTACGTCACACCAAATAACGATTATCTATTGGTTAATTTCCTGTCGACCATCACGTGCCCGAGATTTGTTCTTAATTATAATGATTTGAGTGTAACTATTATTAATGTGAAAATTGAAATTTGTATTCGATCATATTTAAGTTTGATTCAAAAGAATTTTATTAATCACTAATCAAGTTAAGTAGAAATTGAACAAATTTATTCAGAATTTCGTGGCAACTTATGTTGATTTAAAATTAGTGTAATTTTGACTTCAAGGTTCAACGGTGATAACGCAAAAAAAATGTATATACAAATTTTGAACAGAACCTTGGATTAGAATATAGGTTTATATATAAAATATATAAATTCTAACTTTATTATAAAATTTCAAATATACCCAAATTCTGTTCCTACTCACAACATATATGTCAATTATAATACAGTATCAGTTTGACAATTTTTACTTATAAAGCCGGGTTGCCGTGTCACTTTTAAAATTGTTATGTTATGAGAACCGATTTATTAAGCTTGTATGGCCTTTAATTTTATTTTCAAAAAATTATATATATAAAAAACAATTTTTTTTATAGATTTTTTTAAAAAACTCACCCAGATAGTAAGTATATTTGTTTTTTGTTTTTTTTTTAATTTCTCTTCTATTAAATAAAGTATAAATTTTATAAATTTTGTTAAGATTACATTTTTAAATAAAGTATTTAGTACGTAATCTCAAGGTTATTCGGATCCCGGTCTTGAGATCAGTCTTCATAAATAGTTGTACGTATAGTTAAAAGAATGCATTAAAGCTAAAATGGGTAATAGACTAGAAAACCCCTAAACCAATGACCAAAAATTGAAGTTTGTACGTTGGTCCGGATTTTAGGACTGATCTAACCCCAGATTAGATCGTGGATTATAAGTACTTCAAGTCCCGAACTTAAAGATTTGCATATTACAATAAAAAATCATGTCAGAAGGGAAGTTGGAAAAACCTGAACAAGATTTCACGTCAGTCGTCGACGAACAGTTGCCAGAAACTGAGAAGCTAGCTAAGGTTCTTTTCAGGTGTAATAGAAATTTCTTTGATACAAAAGTTTATTGGAATTCTTTAACTTTTAAATAGCAAGGACTTTTGCCTCAGGCTTTGGAACAATTGCTAGCGCTAGAAAAACAAACTCGACAGGTATTAATTTCGATTCTTACGAGCATTGCAATGTCAAGCTATAAGTTATTTATCTAAACACATAGTAGGCTGCAGATCTTGCCTCTTCCACCCGTGTTTTAGTTCACATAGTTAAATTATGTTACGAGTCTGGGAATTGGAAATTATTGAACGAATACGTCATATTGCTTTCAAAGAAGCACGGTCAATTGAAACAGGTTTGTAATTTAGGCTTTTGATATTAAAAATCTAAAAAATTTCGTATATATTCTTACTTCACTTGCAAATACCATTAGGCTATCACAAAGATGGTACAAGAAACCATGAATTATCTTGAAAAAACACCGGATCAAGAAACAAAGTTGGAATTGATTGACACATTACGCACAGTGACAGAAGGAAAAGTGAGAAAATACTAATTTAAATACATATTTTTTATCTATCATGTTTATACATTATTATAACATATTGTTTTTGTTATATAGATTTATGTTGAAGTTGAACGTGCTCGTTTAACACGTTTGTTATCAAAAATTAAAGAGGATGATGGCAAGATTAATGAGGCTGCAGACATATTGCAAGAGTTACAGGTACTTTTTAGCACACTTTTGTTATATCATTTATATATAGCACCAGTTTGTTTAATAATTTATTTATAGGTTGAAACATTTGGGTCAATGGAAAAAAGGGAAAAAACTGATTTTATATTGGAACAAATGCGTTTAACCCTCGCCAAGAGAGATTACACTCGAATGCAAATCATTAGTAAGAAAATCAATACTAAATTTTTTGTTGATATCGAACAACAGGTAGAGACACGAATAGTTATATGTTATGTTTGTTAATACACGTTATTCACATGAATGTCTTATTTCAGGATTTGAAACTTCGTTATTACGAGTTAATGATTCAACATGCATTACACGAAGGACAATACCTGAATGTTTGCAAATATTGGCGTCATGTATACGATACTCCTTCGATCAAAGAGGATGAATCTAAATGGAAAGAAGTAAGAATAAACATATACAATATTAATTAATTGTATACTACTTGAACTTGGATTAACTTTGTCTTATTTAGGTTTTACAAAATGTTATCTATTTTATTGTACTTTCACCCTACGATAACGAACAACATGATCTATTGCATCGTATATATGAAGATCCAAATCTCATTAAGCTTTCTTTGTACTAGTAATTTATATGTTTAATTAATATGGAAAAAAAGTTATATTTTACCTTATTTTATGGGGTTAACTTTTATTATTATTAATATTATTTTTTCCGTTATCAGCGAACTTGCTAAACATTTTATAACTCCTGAACTGATGCGATGGCCTCGTATTCAAGAATTATATGGAACTGCATTAAGACAAACTCCAGTCTTTGCACAGGGTGATGAAGCTGGTGAAAAGCGTTGGCAAGATTTACATAAGCGCGTAATCGAGCATGTTAGTATTAAGTTTATTATTATAGCATATCTGATAATCACAAACTATTAACGTGGTATTTGATTTTAGAATATTCGTGTGGTTGCCAAATATTACACACGTATCAAGACAAAAAGATTGACACAATTGCTAGATCTTAACGAAGAAGTAATTATGTTTTCGTTTATCTTGTTAATAATCTTACAAATTGCTATAGCTTACACTATTTTTACAGGATACTGAAGAATTTCTTTCAAAGCTCGTTGTTTCAAAGACTATTTATGCCAAGATTGATCGACCTGCAGGAATAGTTTCTTTTGCTTTTCCCAAAGATGCGAACCAAGTGCTTAATGACTGGTCAAATAATATTAATTCATTATTGGCTTTAATCGAAAAGACATGCCATTTAATTACAAAAGAAGAAATGTTACATAGCATTGCTAGAGTGAAGTGATATTGTTTTATTTATATAGACATTAAATAAACAACTTTTTTTATAGTGTTATAATTATTCTCTAAATAATTTTGAAAATAATAATGGAAATTTTTCAACCAAATCTTCATGTTGATAAAAGGTAAAAGTTATTAAACCTTTATAAATTAGAATTTTTGTTTATATTAAGCCATACAAACTTAAGTATAATTGCTATCTGGGCGGAGTTTTTAAAAAAATCTATAAAAAATTGTTTTTTTATATAAAATATATTTGGAAATAAAATTAAAAATCGTGTTGCCAGGTTATTTTATCGATTTATTAAGTTTGCATGGCCTTATCTAATTTTTTATTTTTGTTTTTTTTATACATATATATTACGAAAACTCAAAATTATGATTTTGGAATTATAAATTCTAGCAATACTTAATAATATTAGTTCATTATAATTACATTGCATAATATAAGACTTCAAAGCACCTTTTGTTTTTTTTGAAAAAGTAAGTTCTCATAGTTTTTTGACTTTTCAATTAGAGTTCCGAGCCGGATACAAATCGGTACCCGGATCACCTATATAATCTGAAATCGGGTGAACCAGTTGAAAACGGTTTGAAAATTTCGAGGGTGGAGTTCGATTTGATATCGAAAAAAGAAAAAAAAAAAGGAGTACAACCTGTGAATAGTGTGACCTGGGAGTGACTTTATGACCCGACAACAATTTAGCGCAAGCCACAGACATAAACTTAGGAACAATGGTGCAGTTAGAGTATTCTCTCTTCGTCGTACTCGTTGCGGGTTTTATATCGCAATTCAACTTTTACTAGTGTTTTATTTCCTTGGCTATACTTGACTGAAGTATCGTTTAGATACTTTCACATAATAAGCACTGCAAGGAAACGTCCACAACGTAACAAGCACCCATTTTCCTAAAGTAAAACATGTGCAGGTTGCCTAAAAAAAATCGGGTCACCCCAGGTACTATATACAGCACTATAAGGTACGTTGGGAGAGCTCAAATCAAAAAATAGCTCAGATCGTAAGCATTAAATTGTTGGATTTTATTTACAAATGTAATGAGCGACAGAGCGTACAATGAAATACATCGAAGCGTATAAAAGAAAACTATCGAAGGTGGCTCAAATCATTACGCAAAATGTACCGCGCGGTCTAAATACCCAGGGTACTTTACAAGTTATCTACATGCATAGGTAGTTAGCGTAGGAGATATAAGTTGCACTATATAATTGTCACCAAGAGAAAACCTGTCATTGGAATTCTAGCGATTTAATCTATGTTTTAGGCCTCTAAAAGTTGTTATGGGTATTATAAAAGGGGGCCTTTTAGACCACGCTGTACGGTAGTTATAACAACTACAAAACATGTAATAAAGTAACTAAGAAAATCATTTCGTGAAGGAAAAAGTACAGTATTTTAATTTATAGCATTTTTCGTAACAATGTACGCACTACGTACGTATATATTAGACTTTTAATTAAATTTTATGCTATCTGCGATTACGTTACATAACCCGAACCCTAGCGCTACGAACTATTATCGAACGTGATAGTGTATTACATAATAATGAAGGCTTATACAAAGGAAAATTTTTAGCAAAATTTTCGCGATAGAAAGTTGTATGGTAGCCTCCGAATGTCTAATTCTTTTTTTAAATCCAGATAAATTAGAAAAAAAATGGGTTTATTTTCACAATACAATAATAATGTGTTAAATTTTTATGTTTTCTAACAGATTTTTAGAGGTTACATATTCAACCGTTTTGACCCGGTTGAACCGTTTCGACACGGTTTACTATCACCCGGTTCTAAGCTCTATTTTCAGTAAAACGAAATATATTCCGCGAACTTAGCAACAACATAACTAAGTTGCTCAGGTAAATAAAAAACTGTGGTATATGTAAAAAGTCCTAGCCCCACAATCATAAGTGAGTCTACATAAAAAAAAAAGTGAGCAAAATGTTAATAAGGCCAGACATTTTAAGAATTTCATAACAGTCTTGAAAGCTTAACTGAATAGTGCTTTTTCCCATGGCTCAAGCATATATAAAGAAGTAGTAACCTCATATTGATAATTTTTAAGTATTAGATATTCGCGAACCCTAGAAAGCATTCTTTTACTGTAAGGCTGAGCAAAAGGAAACAGTTTTAAAGCAAATACTGTTACACGACTTTTGAATTCCACGTTACACTCGATCCTAAAATTTAATTGGACAGCAAAATATGATGATTGGCAGCGATCATTTATTTATACAATCAATTGTAATTTTTAAAATACTTTTATTAGTAAAAATCGTCGCGCCATATAAAATTTTTTTTGTAATACGTAGTGAAACAACAAAACGATTTTTCTAATAAGATAAGTAAAATATTAAATAAATATTTTGAAAGGTCGGATAAATTGTGAGATTTTGTTTTAACTGTAATTTATAAAAATAATGTTTATTTTTTTTTTTTTTTTTGGTGTTAAGGTGATGAAAATAATGTTTATAAATACAAAAAATTGTAATAGTAGTAGTGTTTAAAATTGGATGAAAAGTAAATTAAAATATTTTTTTATAAATAATATTTTTAGTATAGTGGTTGGATTGTCATCTTTTAAATAGTAGATTCAAAGTTTTAAATTCTACTGATAACAAAATTTTGAAAAATAGTCTAATTTTGGCAACTTGGATGAGGTATTTAAAGTTGTAATCTGTAATTCTAGTTGTATTAAGACTAACTTTAAAAGTGTGTAATGTTACATAAATAAATTTAAAAAATATATATTTTATAAGAAGTCTTGTTTAAAAATCTCAAGTAGAGAAATAATATAATCTTTAATAATATTATTTGTAAAAACCTTGATCTGAAGAAAAAAATCTAAAGCAGTAATTTGTATAAATAAAAACTTTTAAACAAAAAAGGTTTACAAACTTGATTGTTAATTAATCTAAACATAAAGTTATATTATACAAAATTTATTATATTGATAATATATAAGAACTTATAAGAATAGACAAATAATTGATAAGATTATAAAAAAAAATACTAAAATTATATAAACTTTATAAGAGTATAACAATTTAATGATTAACTTTAACTACAAGTATTAGTTTAGTTATAGTAATATCAAGTTAGCACCTTAATTTATTGTTGCTTAGCCTCAACCTATTACTGTTTAACCTTAATCTATCTTATCTTAATTTCAACTTCTTCCTTCACTTTTATCTATTTTTAATAACTTGTCTTCAGAAGTTTATTTTAAGAATAAATTAGTTCTAAGATTAAAATAAGAATTTATATATAAAAAAAAACTCTTGTAATTCAATAAAGTTAATACAAAATGCAGATTCAGAAGTTTTAAAATAAATATTTAAACAAAAATATTAGATATAATATTAGTAAAAAACTTTCAGCAAACTTCTTAAATAGGTAATATAAAAAAGTTGCATATATAGTTAGTTGTATATTTTTTTTGTAATAGTTTTATATAAATATATTTAAAAAATATTAATAAAATTAAAAAATTAGAGATTATCTTAATATCCAAAAAAACTTTTTTTAATAATATTTTAATTAATAATAATGCTAAATTAAATTGTTTTTTTTTTTAATATTAATATGACCTCTTTGGTCTATTGACTTTTATTAACAACTTTTTTGGTAATCAATTTAATAAACTATTATAAGAGAATATACAATTAACTATATATATAATTTTTCTATATTACTTATTTAAAAAGTCTATCTAAAGGTTTTTTATTAATTGTTATATCTAATATTCCTGTTTGAATGTTCTATTTTAAACTCTCTAAACTTGCAAACTGTATTAATTTTACTGAATCATATTCAAATACTCAGATTATTGTCTTAACTTTAGAACTATTTTATTTTTAAGATAAATTTTCTAAAGTCTTCTATACTTATTTTTACAACTAACTTAGTATTACTATAACAAAATCAACACTTGTGATTAGGACTAATTATTAAACTGTTATGCTCTTGTAGAGTTTATACAGACTCTAGCATCTACTTTATAGCATATCTCTAATACTTTAGTATACTCTTGCCTTTTTTTTTTTTTTTTGGTATTAAGATGACCTCTTTGGTCTTTTGACTTTTATTAATCACTTGTCGGTATTGTGGT